AAAAAGAAGCATCTTTGCTCTGGAAATTGTTATTGAATATGTTAATGCTGTAATGAAATGCTTCTAATCATGTGGTTATTAAATAATTTTTAAAAAAAGACATATTTGAAAAAATAAATAATCAAATAAGAAAAAAAAATATCTCTATTAAGGAATAACTGTTTGCATGGGAAATACAAGTCCAGTCAAAATAACCCCAGAGAGTAGTCATAATTTTGGAACCGATGTGGACTACTGTCTCTCCAAAGACCACCTGCTTCTGTTTTGCTGTGAGCAAGCTGTGGAAGTGGAAATGGGATCAACTGTTTAGTCTTGGTGGTCACAGACTGATGTGTCCCTCCACCTCCACATGGTGTGATAGTTCAGCTTGGCTCTGGGGTCACAGGGAGGCAAAATGGAAAGTACTGGAAGAAACAATCCAAAGGATAGACTCCATGGCTGTAGGAAGAAAAGAGAGGTGACAAGGTGGGTGAGCAGGCTTTCCCTTTTGTATTGCTCTTCTTGCTCACTTTTAAGGTTCAATTATTCTTTGAACAAACAGGTTATACTGGACTTCCCAAACAAGAGATCTTCTCCTCACATGGCTGGACACAGTCCTGTTCCTGTTGAGCTCCTGAAGAGATGAGGCAGGCTAGAAGTGCAGTGCTGGTCATGGCATGGGCCATCCTTCTCTTGGTAATGGGAATATATGTTCCTTTGCAGGTAGCTCACTTGCAGAAACTCGTTCTGACTCCTCTGTCAGCCTTGCTGTCCTTATTCCCAGGACCTCAGAAGCTCATTCAGAAACGCTATGACAAACTGCTGGACTATAACAGCTATCTACAGCGGTCAGCAGCAGATGAGTCAGACTTGGCCAAAAGGGAGTATGAGGCCCTCAATGCCCAGCTTGTGGAAGAGCTCCAGGCTTTCAACCAGGCTGCCCGGAAGATCCTGTTGAACTGTCTGTGCAGTTTCATTACCCTCCTCCGGGACCTGATGCTGGTGGCACAGCAGACTTATTCCACAGTCAAGCCGGTGAGCACAATATCAGTCCTTGGCCACCTCAGCCTCAAGCTCTGTATTTGTGTGCATGTATGTGGCCCTTGTCTATGTTTTCACTTAAGTATAAAGCTAATCATATGTTCTTCTGCATTTTGATCCCAAATTTGAATCACACCATTTTTTCACCATAAATAATAAGGTTTATTCTGGGAATATAATGCTGCATTTATAAATGAAAATCAGTTAACATGACTCAGAATAAAGGCAAAACACTGGATCATTTCAATAAATTCAGGCAAAGAATTTGACAAAATTAACACACATTAAATAAAACTTCTAACAAATTAGGGGAAGACTTCCCCAATATAATGAAGTATACCAGCATCACACTACAGCCAACAGGTTTCAGTAGCAATATTCAATACAATCCCAATCAAACTGGAGCAGAATTTTTTTAATTCATATGGAAATTTAAAGTTCTTAGTAGAACCAATGTTTTGTGGGTATTTTTTGCCTATTTTTTAATTAAAGTTTTTTTTAAATTAAGTTTTTAAACTTTTTTAAATTTAATAACCACATGATTAGAAGAAGCATTTCATTACAGCTTTAACATATTCAGTAACACATTCCAGAGCAAGGATACATTTCTTTCAAAGGTGGTTGTAAACTTTTAGGTTCACAGTTGAATTAATACAGCCGTTCAATATTGAACTCAGTATAAACTCTGTAAGACATAAAATTGAATGAATTTTTACCCTTTAAAGAGGATCTCCATTTCATTTTAAGATATGCTATTTCCTACATTTTTAATGCTACTCACACTTACATGTTTGCACATGTACCATCCTCTGAAGGCGTTACCCAAATTGCTGGTCACAGTCAGTTACACTCAGATCCTTAGTACCTGAGTATGGATATAAAGTCATCAGGTAAATTTCACTGGTAATGTTTATCACCTCTAATATTTAACGTGAAGTAAAATTTTTAAAAAAATTTTAATAACTACATGATTAGAAGCATTTCATTACAGCTTTAATATATTCAGTAACACACTCCAGAGCAAGAGTACATCTCTTTCACAAGTGGCTGTAAGTTTCTAGGTTCATAGTTGAATTAATACAGTCATACAACATTGAACTCAGTATAAACCCTATAAGACATAAAATTAAATGAGGTTTTAAACTTTAAAAAAGATCTCCATTTCATTTTAGAATATATTGTTCCTTGCAGAAAGACTCATTGTTTTTGCAACTAACACTGAGATGTTGGCACATGGATCTCTAATCTGTATGTATCTGGTTGGCTCTTCCCAAGCCCATGTGACCCCTGAGGAACAGATCCTCAAACGACCTTAAGAGTAAAAATAAATTGGTTTACCTGGGCCAAGTGTATGGCCTTAAACACCCAAAATGAAAGTATAACCAAAGATTAAAGGGGCCAATATAATTGACAAAATGGAAACAGAGTCCTGCAAGCTCCTGGGAACCTGCTCATATGATTTTATGGCAATGGTGTCAGCATACACAAGTCCCATTCAAACTCAGGCAGACAATAATCCATCATAGAACTGGGAAAATGAACAGCAGACCCCAATATTATCTAAAGGAATATTGACAACTTATTTCTGCTACATGAGGAACAGCTGAGCTTCCTAAAAGAAAGACCTCTAGATAGGCTGACTAGATTCACCAGATGGACAAGTAGTGGGGAATGGCTGTGGTGCCGACAACACAGCAGACAGTAGCAGGGATATCAGAGTATAAGGGCTCTAGTGGGGGAGGGAGGCTATGGGAGGGTGCCATCTGGGAAGTGGGTGTATAGTTGAATGAGATGGTTTGGGATGTTCTGTGTGATACACACACAAAAAAAAGATCAACAAATTTTTAAAAATGTATTATATTTGAGGAGAAAGCATGGAAATTTATATCATGTTAAGTAGTAGAGGTGATAAATGTTACCATTGAAATCTACCCAATGACTTTATAGACATGCATAGGTGCCAAGGATCCAAGTGCAACAGATTATGACTAGTAAGAATCACACAATTTAAAGGTGCATTTCCTGTTTTAAAACATTTGAAAATGCTTCGCTGGGCAGTTCACAGTAGAACAAGGGCAAAGAGAGTCTTTTTGAGAAACTACTAAAATAGCGAAGTGAAAAGCAGTCTGGAGAAAGTTATCTTCCATAAAATCTGCAGTTCATGGTTCTGTATATTTGCACCTCTCTGCTTGACATAACTATAGTCACATGCAGTAATGTAAGAAGGCATATAGAGATACTGTGTAACTTTCATACAGCTTTCCATGAGACCTTGCATAATTATGAGTTTCTGAAAGGTAGAATGGAATGACTATATTCATTCAATTATTAATATATTCAATTATATGTATGAATATATTCATAGAATGATATACTGTAGATTATAGAATAGATTCTGACTCTAGAAGACTTTTTCTGACACCTGCTCATTACCATATTACTTTGGGCAAGTTGATTTATCCTTGTCTGTCTCCACTTTCTCATAAGAATAAAATGAGAACAGTATATCTTTTGCAGTAAAAGAATAACAGTTTACCCCTTAAATCACTTTAAGTGCACATTTCAGTAGCCTTAAGTGTTCATATATTGTACAACACATTGCCAGAACTCTGTTCTCTTGCAAAACTGAAACTATGCCCATTAAACAAGTGTCCTATTGCTCTTTCCCCCAGCGCCTTCAACCACACCTCTATTTCTATTTCTCTGAATTTAACTACCCTAAATACTTCATATAAGTGAAGTCATAGTGTTTTTCATTGTGACTGACATATTTTGCTTAGCATTATACCATTAAGCAGAAGACCTGGGTTCAAATCCCAGCACCCACATGGCAGCTAACAACTGTCCATAGCTCCAGTTCCAGGGCATCCGACGGCCTCTTCTGTCTTCTGTGGGCATTGCATGACACAGGTTCATTTACCTATATGCAGGCAATGTACACATACACATAAAATAAAAATAATAAATAAAATATTTTTAAAGTTTCACCCCTGTAGCATATGACAAGATTTTCCTTTAAGTGTGAATAGTATTCCAATATTCCATTGTATATGTAGAACATACTTTGTTTACCATCTTTTTAAAAAAAAACTATTGAGCTTTTCTACATTTCATACAACAGTTCTTAATCAAATTTAGATCCCATTCCACAACCATGCCCCTCCAGCCCCCCACCAGACCTTATATATTCCACCACATGGTAGGTCCTACCCACTCAAGCATTCGTACCCAGATATCATTTGGTGCAAATTCATTCACTGGAGTCTAGTCAACCTATCTAGAGATCCTAGGTAAGGCCTACTCTCCCTTGCCCAGTAGTAATCAATCTCCAATATTCCTAGGCGAGGGCTGGCCTGCTATCCATTTTCTTCACTCTGCTCTGGACCTTTGTCTGATTGAGTTGGCATGGGTCCAGTGCTCGATGCCATCACTGCCAAAAATTCATGTGTGCAAGCTTCCAGTGGCCTGGAAGCCTCTGCTTCCCTATGTTCATGAACTAGCCCTGGCTCTTACAATCTTTCCATACCCTCTTCCATAATGGTCCCTGGGTGGTGGGTGGGTAAGATTTACTATACAAGTCCTATCCAGGGACACACACTCTGCAGTCTTATTTTTTTAAAACTTGGTCTGTTGTGGCCTTCTGTGTGTATTGCATTCTGTCATATGGAAGGTCTACCGGTCAGAGTTCAGGGATGCACTAATTTTCTCTTTACCCCCGTTCTGCTTTGTTCCATGAGCCTTAGGTGTAGAGGTTCAACTGTAGATATGTCACCTAGGACTGGGCATCTCTCAGATATATGTTCTTTGTGTGACCAGCTGTGGGATTCTTCAGTAGCCTCCATGTGATGCAAAAGGAAGCTTCTTTGATAAGTAGTATATGGTATGCTTGTCTGAAAATATAAAGATTCATATTTAGCATGTGGTAAGAAATTTCATTTGTTTAGAGATATGACAGAGATAAGGTGTTCTTAAGGATCTATGACCTCTCCAGCCATGTGTATTTGGCTGTGTTCACAGTGCTACCCATGACCTCACTCCCATTGAGAGGGCTTTAAATCCAATTAGATAGCTATTGATTACTCCCTAGATAACAGTGCCCCTACTGCACCGAAAGAGGTAATTTGCTGTGTCAATCCTTATGGTTATTAGGCTTTAGGGCTGCATTGGACCATTGATTGATTTTCTCCCTTAGCAGCTTGCACAGTATCCTCTAGAACTATGAGAGGCAAACTTAAGGTAGAGGGCTTTCAGGTTAGTTCCTGTTCCATTGCTCCAAGTCATGTGTTTGAAGTATATCTTGTCTTCAGCAGTAGGGTTTATCTTCCAGTTCTGGAAGACAACCAAGAGCTCTGACAATAGCCCGTGTTACTTGGGGAGTCTCTTGGACTACTCTGACCAACCACTAAAGAGAAGTCTCTCCTGTCTGGCACTGTGCTCCTTGCCATACAGCCCCCAGATATACATATGCACATTCAGATACTGTACGTGCATTTCTCAGGGGTTTTGAGGCAACACATTTCCCTCTGGCTTCCCTAGACCCTCAAAAGCCATTCATCTCTACTCTCTCTCTCTCTCACCCCCATCTGACCTCCCTCCCCCTCCCCAGTCAAAGTCCCCATTATCCCCACCCTCTCCCCAACAACACCACGTCCCACCATCACCCCTCTCCTGAGTTCCCTTCTCCTCCACGGTGGCCCCCTGCATGCCCCTCCCAGTCAAATACTACACCCACCCCGCGACATCTGTTCCCTACTATCCTCCTCTTTCAGGTTCTTTTCCTTTACCTCTGTGTTTCCTTTCCATTTTCCTGGCTCATGGTGTAACACCAGGATATATACTCACATATAAGGGATTGGTACTATGATCTGCAAATGAGGGAGAACATATGTTGCTTGCTTTTCTGCATTTGTGATACTTCGCCTAGTATAGCAGTCTCTAGGTCCATCCATTTACCTGAAAATTTCATAATTTCATTTTTTCTTACTGCTGAATAG